CCAAAACGATTGGGTGACACTTAGATCAAATGATTTGGGAGGCTATGGATTTTACACTGGTGGTCACTGAATCACTCTTGGCTTTGGCTAGCTGAGTGTAGCTAGGCTTTATTATCTAAAAAATATGGGAACAAAATGTGCTTAGTTTTGTGTTTATGATGTACCATCCCTCCCAGGATTTTATTGCAGGACGCACTCTAAATCGCATGCTTCGACCAGAAAGCACTCCCTTCGGGCAGTGGCAGGGCCATGTCCCAACTCTCCAATAGACCTTTTCTTTTACACATTCTGCCTGTTAGAACCTCTGCTGGGGTTTACGACATGGTTAATTTAGTTGTTCTGCTAGTTACCCGTTTAGAATTTCAGAACCATCCCCAATCATGCCATTTTCAGACAACGTTGATCTTTTTCTCCCCAACCTTTCCTGTCAAGAAGGCAAAGTTTCCCAACCTTGGTATTTTGGACCGTATAGTTATGGAGATATTCCTAATTCTTTCTGGTCTCTGGAAAAGCAGGGAGTGATGTACATGTTCCAGCTTCTCAGAGAGAAAGACAAACTGAGCATGAACTTGTAGACACTAGCTATGGTCTAAACCAGGCATAGGCAACCTTTGGCACTCCAGATGTTTTGGACTACACCTTCCATGATGATTTGCCAGCATTATGGCTGTAAGAGCATTATGGGGGATGTGGTCCAAAACATCTGAAGTGCTGAAGGTTAACTACCCCTGGACTATCACATCCAATAATAAATTATTCATATATTACATGTATCCTGCCATCATCATTCAACTAAGTATGAAAGATGAATAAATAAACTCTTGAATTCTCCTGGTACTCTTGGACACGTTCAGCAACCACAATCTTCCCCAATGAATCCAAACATGAATACAAGCCAGCTCTGAAGGACATGACCAAAACTACAACCTGTGTCCCCGGACACCACACCCAGTTAATCTGTGTTTCACAATCTGCTTGAGGAAAAAATAACAATGTATATGATTGTTTGAATCGCACCAAGTTTTCCTAAAGGGACACTATAGTCACCAGAACAACTACAGCTTATTGAATTTGTTCTGGTGAGTAGAATCATTACCTCAGGCTTTTTGCTGTAAACACTGTCTTTTCAGAGAAAATGTAGTATTTACATTACAGCCTAGTGATAACTTCACTGGCCACTCCTTAGATGGCTGTGTAACGGACCGTTTTGCACACAAGTGGTAAAAACCGTTTAGGCGATCGGCCCCCTTTCCAGAGATCCAGGCACAGCTACTGCAGAACACCAAAACTCACGAACTGGATAGAAAATAGCACTCCAACTCCCGAACTGGAACCTCCCAAATAGCTGCTAGCAGACGAACAGGAAAAGCAGACGAACAGCTTACACTCCTGGCAATCAGTCTCTAACAGCATACAGTGAATCCCCCCAAGAACGAGACAAGGCTCCGTGTTGAGGGTCAAGCAGTGGTCTGTTTAATGAGGGCTACCTGCCCAGCTTTTATGCAGGTCTCCCACCTGGTGGACACTCCCCTAGGGGACCAAATGGGAGACTGTGACAAGGGACAGACAAGTATACAAATAGGACACACAGTCACAGTATATTCCCACAATGCATCCTGGCTTCCTCCCCTCTGCCCTGGGAGATAATTGGGAAGTAACTCAATTATCTCCCAAGACAAAGGCAAAACTCCATTACACACGTGGGAACACAAAACCAGCATAATACTTTAAAATGCACAAAGTAACATTTACTACATAAAACACAGACATGTAACATATCCCCAGATAGCTCAGGTCTGAGTGCACATTATTAGGTGAATGGCACTCAGACCACACGAATGCAGTTTAATCGCCATGGAGCCAAAGTCCTTACAGTCAGTTTCATACGAATGGGCTCCATGGGATTCCTATCTGGGGTATAAGACATTCACACAAAAATACCGAACACCGGGTCATTCGTGTGCTTTCACCGAACAAGAAGGGAGGTCGGCGGCTTCAGCGGTGTTCGCGCAAAACTGTGTCCGATTTTAGTTCCATGAAAATAGAGGCGAACACCGCTGTTCATTCGTATGGTTTAAAATGGCCGCGACCTCGTGTTCGGGATACGAACGGCGGCCACCCAGCGTTCATCAATTAAGCTGCGGTTAACCGCAGCTTCAGGGAGGTTAATTGCCGGCACACTCCAGCTCCCAGGTGGTCCAGTCATTCGTACGGTTGTTCGGTAGATTGAAACTACCGAACAACCGGCAGAAAAGCATGAATATGGCTTTTCTGCATGGAAAAATAAAGTCTTTTAAAAAGGGGCCATAGTCCAAAGGCAGCAGGCGAGCAACCAGGCTTCTCCAATGCAATGTGGCGAGATTGGTCTCGTCACATCTCTCCCCTTTTCCAAACAGACTAACAGGGTATCTGACCTCCTGCCGGTCAGTGCCCTTGTTAGTCCAGCAGCCCACCCACAACAAATAATCAACAGCACAGCCCACCCACAATAAATGGTTACTACACCTGGGTAGAGAAGAAGCTTGTCCATGTCCAGGTGCCTCACCACGGCTGTGCTGGGTACGGGTACGCTGACTTGGTGGGTTGCTGCGTGGGCAGAGACCAGCGGCACTCTGCCCTGTTGCCAGCGCTACTGGGAGGGTAGCCTGGTGGAAGCCTGGTTGTTGGAGGGGGAGACCGACTGTCTCCCCTTTAAATACACCGCTCTGCTGCTGCTGCTGGAGACTGACTGTCTCCCCTTTAGATGCACAGTCCTGCTGCTGGAGACCGACCGTCTCCCCTTTGGTTACCCATCTCTGCTGCTGGAGGGGGAGACCGACTGTCTCCCCTTTGGCTAAACAGCCCTGTCGCTGGGGGGCAGGACCGACCGTCCCTACCCCCTGTGCTGGCAGTGTAGAGACTACGGTCCCATCTGCGCAGTTGTGGGGCTTACTGTCTCCCCCTGGTACATTAAGCTGCCGCTGGGGAGAGGGGATAACAGGCTCCTCTCCCATACATACTTCCAGCTGCGGGGGAGGGAGATCACTCTGCTGCTGGAGGGCAGGAACAACTATCTCTGCCCCCTGTAACTCAGCCTGCCGCTGGGGAGGGAGGACGCTGCTCTCCTCTCCCTGCACTTTACACTGCCTTCCCGGCATATCACTCTGCTGCTGGGGGCAGGAACAACTACCTCTGCCCCCTGTAACTCAGCCTGCCGCTGGGGAGGGAGGACGCGGCTCTCCTCCCCCTGCACTTTACACTGCCGCTGGGGAATGGAGACTGGGCTCCCAATTCCCAATAAATCACACGGCCGCTGGGGAATGGAGACTGGGCTCCCAATTCCCTGCAGGACCGGTGGAGAGACGTCGGTCCCATCTCTACCGGCCACCTGGGGTTCTTCCCAGAAAATATCCACAATGTCTTCCCAGCTGAATGGGTCTGGTTCTGGCTCTGTCACCTTGCTGTCCTGCTGAATCTTCTCAATGGAGTGGAAGAGATCTCGGTAGTCCTGCTCCAGTTCCCACTCCAGGGTTGCTAGGTGAGCCAGGTCTTGCTCAATGTCGTGAGTGTCGTCCCAGTCATACCTGCTCTCCCTCCACTCCAAGAGATCACTGAACCGGGCTTGTGTAGGGCTCCCAAATTCAGGCTCTGAAAAAGCCTCCCATAACAAGCCAGGACCATCAAACTCCTCTCCCTCTGGCTTGTCATGCTCGGCTGTCCAGGGCAGGTACTGTGCCCCATACCACCAAAGCGCCTGGTATGCATCTTCCAGCCAAATCTCCTGCCATACCCGGTGCTCCAATTCCTTCACCCATTCATCTAGGGGCTGCTCTCCCAGGAAGGGCATCCGCAGGGCCACTTGCTTCTGCAACCGCTGCTCTTCACTGGGGAGACTCTCACCCCGCTGGTACTGTACATTATCCAGGGCCTGGTACCAGATGCCTTTCCTTAATGCATCCCGGCCATCCAGGTCCTCCTCCTCGTATGACACTGCTGGTTCCATGCTGTTGCTGTCAGGGTCGCTGTACTGGGACATGCGTTGCCCTCAAATTGTAAATCCACGGAATGGTGTTGCCTGTAGCTGTCCTGTTGTCTGTGGGAACGATCCCGCCGCTTGCCACCAATTGTAACGGACCGTTTTGCACACAAGTGGTAAAAACCGTTTAGGCGATCGGCCCCCTTTCCAGAGATCCAGGCACAGCTACTGCAGAACACCAAAACTCACGAACTGGATACAAAATAGCACTCCAACTCCCGAACTGGAACCTCCCAAATAGCTGCTAGCAGACGAACAGGAAAAGCAGACAACAGCTTACACTCCTGGCAATCAGTCTCTAACAGCATACAGTGAATCCCCCCAAGAACGAGACAAGGCTCTGTGTTGAGGGTCAAGCAGTGGTCTGTTTAATGAGGGCTACCTGCCCGGCTTTTATGCAGGTCTCCCACCTGGTGGACACTCCCCTAGGGGACCAAATGGGAGACTGTGACAAGGGACAGACAAGTATACAAATAGGACACACAGTCACAGTATATTCCCACAATGCATCCTGGCTTCCTCCCCTCTGCCCTGGGAGATAATTGGGAAGTAACTCAATTATCTCCCAAGACAAAGGCAAAACTCCATTACACACGTGGGAACACAAAACCAGCATAATACTTTAAAATGCACAAAGTAACATTTACTACATAAAACACAGACATGTAACATATCCCCAGATAGCTCAGGTCTGAGTGCACATTATTAGGTGAATGGCACTCAGACTACACGAATACAGTTCAATCGCCATGGAGCCAAAGTCTTTACAGTCAGTTTCATACGAATGGGCTCCATGGGATTCCTATCTGGGGTATAAGACATTCACACAAAAATACCGAACACCGGGTCATTCGTGTGCTTTCACCGAACAAGAAGGGAGGTCGGCGGCTTCAGCGGTGTTCGCGCAAAACTGTGTCCGATTTTAGTTCCATGAAAATAGAGGCGAACACCGCTGTTCATTCGTATGGTTTAAAATGGCCGCGACCTCGTGTTCGGGATACGAACGGCGGCCACCCAGCGTTCATCAATTAAGCTGCGGTTAACCGCAGCTTCAGGGAGGTTAATTGCCGGCACACTCCAGCTCCCAGGTGGTCCAGTCATTCGTACGGTTGTTCGGTAGTTTGAAACTACCGAACAACCGGCAGAAAAGCATGAATACAGCTTTTCTGCATGGAAAAATAAAGTCTTTTAAAAGGGGGCCATAGTCCAGAGGCAGCAGGCGAGCAACCAGGCTTCTCCAATGCAATGTGGCGAGATTGGTCTCGTCACAGGCTGTTAGAGATCCTTCCTGGGTCATGGCTGCCTAAAATGCATCCAAACATTCAGTGTCTCCTCCCTCTGCATGCAGACACTGAACTTTCCTCATAGAGATTCATTGATTCAGTTCATCTTTATGAGGAGATGCTGATTGGCCAGGGCTGTGTTTGAATCGTGCTGGCTCTGCCCTGATTTGCCTCTTTGTCAGTCTCAGCCAATCCTATGGGGCAGCACTGTGATTGGATCAGCCTACCACTTCTGCTGATGTCAGCAGGCAGAGGGCAGGTCTAAGGGAAACATGGACAAACTATGCAGCTGCAGGCTTGAATTCAAGTAAGATTTTACTTTATTTTTAGAGGCATGAGGGGACCAGGGTGGCTAGATTGTGGTTTTAACCCTATAGGGTCAGGAGTACATATTTGTTCCTGACCCTGTAGTACTGCTTTAATAAGCACTACATGAAGCTTGGTGATACAATTGCTAACTCCCAGTAAAAGTAGCCCACGTTTTCCTGTAATATGTTCTTTTACAGAAACCCAACATATTATCTATGACCTGCCTGCATTTTTTTTCGTTTTCTCTGTTTTGAGGTGAGGGACATCTGTGATCTTGGGTCTTCGCTTGCAGCCTGGCGTAAAACCAGCTTTGTACACACTTGAGCCATCACAATATACCCCAGGCTGCTTAATGTGTTGTTGCTCGCAGTCAAGCTTGCTTTCAGTTGCCCCTCTGAAGCTCACTAAGTTCAGTTGTTGAGGGGAGCCTCAACCTACGTGCAAATGAACATGATAGGTTACAGGTGTTCCTTTGACCTGACCTAAGTTCCAACCACTGGAGGTGATAATTTTTGGTTTATTACACAAAAATAATTACTGCTGTGGTCCACTAATCCCTCAAAAAACAGACGTGACCATCATCAAGTCACAGTCAGTCTCTGTATCGATGCATTATTCTACTTTAGCAAAAACGGCAGGCAAAACTAGACGTCTGTCCTACACAAATTCTACCTAGTAATTTCATTAAATGCTATTTGATAGTACGTTGGTCAGGATTCTCTTCCACTGTGCAACTTTGCAATGCATATGTTAGTTTATCATCAAAAATTCACAAAAGACAAACATACGAAATACTGTGTTTCCATTGCAGAGTAGATGTTTATTGTCAAATATACAATTGCTAAAGCAAACGGCAAAAGAACAAAATAAATATGAAAATTTTGTATTCAAACAATGGGATGAAGAAGTATGTATAAAGAATGTATGGATGCCTTGTGTATTTGCTTTGTGACTGACATGCTCACTGCTAATTTTTTTCCAGCAACTTTTAAGCAAATGTATAAACCCTGTGACAGCTGAGAATATAGTAAAGACATATAAAACACATACAAAAGCATTGCTTGAAAAGTCTGCGTGGGGGGTAGTATCTACTTTAGACACTAATGATTGCTGTAAAATACACAAAAGGACCACACCTCGATGTCTTCAGTTACAAAACGGAGTTTAAAAGCAGTCTGTAAAGTATATTTAAATAAACAAAAGAATACACTCGGAGCCTGCTCTGGACAGCTTTGCTGCCTCCCCCATCCCTTTGCTTTGTGCAGTTGTCACATGTGGGTTTAACCCTTTAATAGCAACGAAGAGTGTTTTAGATTTTGTTTTGTACCCAGTCATGTTTATTGTCTGGTTTTCTGCCATGCAGTTCTTTAAGTGTATCAGCAATTGTCAAATTCTACCTAAATGTAGAGAGCACTCAATTTCATGCTGGCTTTAAAAAGTCCATCTTATTTTAGTAAACTGATGTGTTTTTATTATTTTATTATTTATATAGCGCCATCAGATTCCGTAGCGCTGTATAATGTGTTTTAAAAATGTTATATTATTTAAAACCAATATGAAGTTGAGTACGCTGTTTTTTTTTTGCATGTCGTATCTGTTCGTCACAGCACCCAAGTAATGTAAGTATGTCCAGGTGAGCCCAGCCTTTCTGCTATAAATATTTATATGCATCTGATCAGAGTAATAGTATTCGGTGTTGATTTATTTGTGGCGCCACCAAGTTGCACTGATCACAGATTTTCTGTGATCTCTCATGAATATATAAATAAAATGCACAGCATAATTAAAGAAATGGTCCCTGACTATTCTGCAGCCGATCTTGCACCAAATATATTAATGTTAGAATCGCATTTATTCTGTAGTACAGGAATTGAAATGTGGTCCTAGAAATAATTTGACACTGCCCCAATAATCTCCTTAGCAAAATTTGATAAACCTGTATAGTATAGAAACTTACAGATAAAATTGTCCCAAAAGGAACCAAAAAGGAAATTGTGCATTAAATTATCACAGTGAAGAATGGGGTATACAAAGTACATGATTCTTGAAAAGATAAACTATTAATTTTAATATATTCCCACCTATATCCACAAAAATATGAACTGGAATGTAATGAGATATAAATATAAAGTTCACCCACAAGGGGCGTTCATCAAACTAAAAATATATATTTTACGTAAACCACTTGCTTTACAATGGTCTATTTAATGGTGATAGAAGTGGGATACCTGACATTCAGTATGACGAATGAGAAACTTGTTTTGCTACAAGTATATTATATTTTATAAATTGTCAACACAAATGTACAATATGATAAATAATGCTTTACACAATTCCACTGCCGTCAACCAAACTACAAATTGTTTACCAACGATGTTTGAATAGATAATATTAGATTGACATCTGGTTGTGCCCGAACGTCTACCAAACGTTTGTCACTATATTGTTTTGTATAGTGTGTCCCTCAGTAGTATGAGTAAATTTGGAACCCAGAAAACAGCCACAATTATTTAAAAATTAAAAATAATACATTATCGCACAATAATATCTCTGCTGACGATGCATACCCCATTGTGAGATTTCTGTGTACGCAAATTATTCAAATGTTGGTGTCTGAGGCAGCAGACACAACTATCAAAATGTACAATGAATGCACAACTTCCTTTTTGCATAAAGCTATGGAACTGCATGTGTCAAACTTGGAGGACTGCACGAGATAACAACATATATGGCATTTCCAAGGGAACATCTTAAACAGTGAGGGAGATGAAGCTGTTGTATCTCTGAATGTTTCTCTTGAGGATCTCTGAACAAGGCCCAAGAACCCGTTCAAAGCGAGGACGATCAAGTTTGACACATTTAAGTGGTCCACGGGCGACCACAGTTGCTGCCCGGGGACGATTCAATAACAAGGCAATTTCACCTGCAAACAACAAAAGATAACTTATTACATTGTAATGCTGGCAAGAATTAGTATGAAAATTGAAAATTATGAAAAACTTAAACTAAAACAGATATTTCACATATACAAATATTTTTAAACAACCGAGAACATACAAATGTCAAAATTTGAAAGGATTGTCAGAAGCCGATTTATTGAAAATGAAAGCTCAATAAATGTAAACAGATACTAAATACCAAAAATGAATGGGGGCAAAACTTATGGCCCTTGTAATTTTTTAAAAGAAGGCTGCTGCGTCCTCTTCCCTATAGATGAAAGAAAACCTAAACTGATGGTCAACAACCTCTCATTGCTCACACAGTGAGATACCTTTTGTTCCAATCGCAATAGTGGAGCAGTGAGTAACAGTACAATTTATCAGCTGATAAGTGTCATATGTACCGATTCCAGGGTTCCCCCTCATTGCTCCAGCAATGATTCAGACACTGCATGGTGCTCGTGCCCATGTCCGAGTGGCGCCCTAAAGCGCCTATTCATCACAGACGAACGAAGGCACGAATGTCTGAAAACGGAAATCCGCCGCCCTCACACTTCTGACGCTCCTTTATGGAGTGGTCCAATCCTAATAAAGCCACGGATATTTGAAATGCAGCTTTCTCATCCCAGTCACCATTGTGGTTCTTGATTAGCCGAATAGTGAGTTTTTTATATTTCTGATCTCCTGTTACTAACCATAGCTTGATCACTGTTTATTCTATTCTCTGTATTCCTGATAGTTGAATTGTCCACAGTTTACTATAATATTTCCTACAGTTGTCCTTGGCTATCTCTCTGACCATTCACACGGTAAGCCCAGCGACTCTAAGGTCCAGTAATATGCATAATAGTATACAAGGTTGTAGATTAGGTTCTGTGTGTTTGAGCTGTAGTCACCATGCTACCTACAGCCTCCAATTCCAGCTGAAATATGAGACAGACGTAGAGGGTGTAAACGTGATTAATTCATTAAACCATGAACTGTAGGGAATTCTCCAAGGATTTTCACATTTTAGACCAGAATAGCTGAGCTGATAACATTTGTAACATGGGGCCTACAACTTGCAATTCTTTTGTGAATTCTCAATAACTCACGGCTTAGCAAATATTTTAATTTATCAATAAAAAGCATGAGGAAAAAAAAGGAACATAGTCATTAGTGCACTGGCCTGAAAGAACTGAAAGTGAACATCTGGAATTTAAATTGAACCTGTCATGACAGTTTTCACCTCAACAGATAACAGCTCTTAATGCGGTGAATATATTAGTTATCATTTATGTTAACATACACCTCCTTTCCAGTCTCATCACCGGCACCATGACAGAGGGATCTAGTTCCCTCCTGCCTTTCATTCAATGTTGTTCGATTGGCTCTGCTTGAAAATACTTGCCAAACAGGGCACAGCTCGCCCATTACACTGCTTGCTATATTGCATTACTTCATTACAAGCACACTGGCTACAGACACTATTGCTAGAGAAGTAATCACAGCAACTACCCCACGTGCTGCCATATCTGTCACAGAGAGCAGGAGTACCGCTTGTAGGAGGGTTTTCTTGTCCTCAGGTCATTCAAGAGCCATTCAATTGTTTAACTGACAGGTAGGGACCATATTTTTTTTATTAAAGGGACACTCCAGGCACCTAAAGTGCTTGTACCTGATTACATGCTGGGGTATATATTTACTAAAACATGGATTTTG